TTTTTTTTTTTTTTTGCTTTTGCTGGGGGCGGGGAGGGATAGAAAAGATGAAATAATTAGCATGTTCATTTATTTTACTGAACACTTCCAGGAGTACACAGAAGTAGATGTAGACTTCTGAAAAACTAGGGTAATGTGGAAAAGGAAGAGAAAATAGAAGAGTACAGAGCAGTATTTGGTGGAGCTCCCCGATTAAAACAAGCTTGGAAGCAGGAGTGACATCACTTCCGAAATAGCTTGCCTCTGGAAGCAGCATAAACCTGGAGAGAGGACAAAAGTTATACATGTGTCCAGGTCTTTCGTTCATAGAGTCACTATGAGTCGCCTACGACTCAAAAGCATTTAACAACAGAGCACAAAATAATCAGGAAATCTTAACTATGTGCAATGAAATGAACCCCACTTTGATTAAAAGCTGTTTGTTTTCTCCTGGCTAGTGGTCCAAATAGGAGCTGAATAAAAGCAGAGAGTCACAGGAAGAAAATGTCTGGTAGAGCCAGCTTTATTCCAAGGCCTGGCTAAATCTCCAATGTCAGGTCATAATGTGTAATATTCCTATATACTGTACTAAATCCAGAGTTCCACTGGTGACATCAAATCTCCCTGCTCTACTCTTATCTCACATCAGGGTAGGACATTTCTACACTCATCCATTTATCTATCTCCCAAATACTGTAATGAATACTTACTAATATTCCTGTAGTAGTAGCTACAACGTTTTCTTATCTCTCTCTAGCCACTATATGCATGAAATATCTAAGTCCTAAGAGAGAAACTGCCAATTCTGAGTGGCAAATAACCTCCTCATTGCCTCCATTTTTCTATGGTGAAAATGTTCTATATGGAGGTCAACTTTAAAGGCAGTTAAATGAGGCCAAATAAAGGGAGTTGCTTCAGAAGAGAGGGGGCATGTTTCTCAGTTGAAGATACTAATGTGGTGATGCGACATTAGAGTAGAATCTAGTTCTAGGATGTCTGCAACACATCTGTGACAATGACAAACAAGTACCCACGTTCTTGGTTAGTGATCACTAAAAACAGCTTCCATTTTATGGGTCTTAGGGGATGGCCAATTTTCCAATAAGGTATCAAATAATTTTATTAATTCTTTAATATTAAGTTCTCACTCTATGTCACCACCACTCAGATATCGTTTTGTCATACTACAGTCTCTTAGGTGTTGCTATCATGCTGAAAATGATGCTAATAGTAGGTCAATTACTAGCATGGTAACCCCTGGTGGACAGATTTCAGCAGAGCTTCTAGGCTAAGGCAGGTAAGAAAGGATTAGTGATCTACATTGAAAAATTACTAAGTGAAAACTTTATGGATCACACAGAAAGCTGTCCTATTTGCTTGCTTTAGACCCATTTAAGAGGAAGAATCACTTGCTTTAGACCAAACCAGGAGGGAAAACATCATATATGGTGAACTAGAGGGCTTAGGAGACCCTCAGTGGCATAAAGAGGTTTAACAGTCACCCCAAGGGACTCAAACATGCTGGCCTGCTAGGGACTGAGGATGACAGAGGTGCAGGAAATGTTTTCTCATGTGGTGCCTAAGGTCACCATGAGTCAGTGTCCACTCAACAATGGCTAGCGTTTTGATGGAAAACGATGGGTTTGTACGATTAAGTTAAACTAACCTTTTCTTTTATCTGCCATGAAGCATTTCCGTCTGGATCCTTCCTCTTCCCCCACTGCAGTATGACCATTCCACGAGACTGAAGCAGACTGCCACACACATCCCTCATTAACCTGGACACACAGGAGAGCTGGCATAAACTGAAGCCATCGAGAAAGCCTGCAATATGCTGGAGCACCTCAAAAGGAAGACTGCTTAAATGATCACTCCGTATTCCCAGCACACAGTTCCTGGCAGGCTCCACTAATACTGTGGATATGCATGGCTGAACTCCAAATGACCTCAAGTGACGGTCATGTATGATCTTTGCTCCTTGTGTTGATGGACAAAATCTACGCTGAGAATACGTACAACCATAATAAGCTAGAGGACACCTTTGTTCCATCCAGCCATTGAGTCCAGCGTGAATGTCACCATGCACGTTCTTAAAATGTGAAGAAAATTCTTTTCTCCTAAATAGCTGTCCGCAAACAAATGTAAACATTGAACGTTGCTTCGGCTGGTACCTGGCGACACATTCCAGAACTAAATCCAGTCCAAGGGTCTGAAAAGGACTTGGATTTGAAAGCTGAGGGTTGGCATGATCACAGGCTGAAGCTGAAGCTATTTCCCCAACCATTGTATTTGTAGCCAATATTGCTGAGGGAAGTGAAAAAGTCTGAGTCCCAAAGTCAATACGATAGCCATCAACCATGCGACTATCAGATATACCCCTCCCACCTGGAGAATCACCTAAGCAAAACAGCAATGCTGCCGTGATCAGATCTATTCCCTGGAGGCCCATGGGATCTTCTGCAACTTCCAAATCTGATGTATCTACTGCTTTATCTTCTTTTGGTTTGGACCAACAGGAATTAGAAAGAAATTTGAATGAAGTAGGATGACTGAAAGCCAAGACATCCACATTCCTCAAGTCCACTAAGTCTACCCTTCTCCAATGTATGTCTTCCCCAGCTTCACCATCTGGCACAAGGATATGCTGAACTGTACCGTTAGGCAAAGGATTGGGTGGTATGACTTCCCTAAGCTGTGCTGCCGCTGAGACTGAACTGGAAGGTTTTGAAGTGTCATCTGAAGCCACACATTCTCCATTTGTTAAGTTATTTTGTTTTGAATCATCATGTAAACTCTGATGCTGTACCTGTGTATTTATATTTTCCAAAGAAAAGCCATTACAAAGAGCCGGAGTGCTTTGAGAAGTTGTATCTAAGTCACACAATAAGTCACTTGAACCATTTTGTTCAGGTTGGGCATTCTGACTCGCTTCAATGTGGTCAATTCCACCAATTGCACCAATCTCGTCCTCATAAAGATGATCCTGGTCTTTTGAGTTGCTATCCTGTAAGCTTTCTCTGGTTTTCTGCTCTTCATCCGTTTCATTCTGGGATGCCTGAAGACCTGAACTTAACATGCTGATGTCTCTTGTGGCAGTATTCAGGATATCTAACGCAGCAGCCAAACTTCTGGTTGTTTCCACAGTAGCTTGATAAAGTGCACCATAAGATTCTTCATCAACAGACACTAAACCATTAGTATGTGCAATTTCTGGGATGCTTGATTTAACAGAAATTTGTTCTTTAGCTTCAGGTACTTTATCGGTTGCTTTTGACATCATGGTGGCTACCTTGAGAGATTCTAAAAGCATCCTTTGGTCTTGCAGGGCCAAAGCCATATCTAACTGTGCTACTTCATCAACGTCTCGGCTAAGATTTTCATAGGATTTCCGGTCTGCGTAACTAACTGGCCATCGGTTCCACTCCATAGTACAGCACACCACACTTGCAGGGCATGTTTCCAGATGTTCAGCAACTTTATTTCGGGCCATTGTAAATGGACATCCAAAGTCACTATTTAAACAAGGCACTCGTTCCAATGGACATAAAAACCGATGTTCCTCAGCCTTACAAGAATGGAACACTGCTCCACAAACCAGGGGGCAACCAATCAAGTCACAGGAAATCCCAGGCTCTGGTCGAGTCATGCACCGTCTACTGACACAATTCACACAGTGTGAATGCTGCAGCTCCTCCTCCATAATGGCCAGTCCAGCTCTAGCAGAAGGGAAAAAAGACAGGAGGTTAGGCTGTTAAGTGATCAGTCTGGGAAAAGTGCTTAATAACAAACCACGAATGCATGTTGGGTAGCTCTGGTGGTCTAGTGGCTGGAAGCTACACTGCAATCCCAGATGCACGCAGCTTACATCCACCAGGTGCTCTGCAATCGAAGGCCCGGCACTCTTCCATCCTGTGATCTAGGGCCTCTGAAAACCCACTGGAGGGTCAGCTTTGTGTCGGTTCTGATTCAACGACACACAACAACAACAAAGTATACTGGTCTATCTTAGGATGAAATAAAAGAAACAAAATAGAAACAATAAGTTTACTTAAAATGTATCTTTAAAAAAAGAAACCAAATGACAGAAAAACCACATGTAATAAGCTTATTTTGCATATCAATTTTGAGAGAATTTAAGTACTTCAAGTAATAACTTAGTACTCTGACTAAAATGCCATAAAGTTTCATTTTTATACATAACACTATACCTAAATGGGCAAAGGTTCTAAAACACACACATAACACTTAAAACAAATGAATACTTAAAACAGATTTGACTTACTTGTATCTTTTTTAACTAAATTTATTTTTAATATACTCCATATTTGAGATCTCAGCATATTCCTACAAAATAGCTATATTCCACAAATATATTTAATCAAAACTTCTCTGTTGTCAAGAGGCCAGGAAGTCAATGCTGACTCAAGGCCACAGCATGTGTGGCGGGTCAAAGTGCTCCACAGGGATTCGGAGGCTGTAACCTGTAGGAAGAGGATCACTGGGCCTTTCTCCTGAGGAGCCGCTCAATGGTTTCAAACCTCCAACCTCTCAGCTCATAGTCTCAAGCCCTTAGCAACTTGTGCTATCCAGAGACTCCTAAAAGTCAATGTGCCGTTCATTTCTGTCCAATCTCTCTAAATACAGGAATTCATTTTGGGTTTCTTCCAATGATCTCTCTCCTTCCACCTCAGTCATTCATTGCTGTGGGGTTGGAACCAACTCATAGCTGATCTCTCAGTGGATTTTCAGACGCTGTTAACTGCACAAGAGGAGAATGCCCGCCTTTCTTCCATAGAGGAGGTGGTAGATTCAAACCACGTACCTCTGGAATGGCAGAACAACTCCTATCACTAGACCACCAGAGCTATGTCTGAAAAAATTCCATTACAAATCCACAAGGGAAGCCTTCACCTCAACACAGAGGACAATTATCAAGAAAATAGATGTTCCAGTTCAAACTCTATAACTACAGGCTCAATTACTTCTAAGATTCACAGCTGCTATTCATTCAAGAAACACTTCTGGTAGTACCAGACACTGTATTTGGTGGGACAACATAGAGACTAGTGATATAAGATGCCTTCTCTCAAGGAGATCAAGACAATAAAAGTCCAATCAATTCTTATATGACCCGTACAACAGAAGTAAAATTATGGTAGCAGACGATACAAAGAGGTGAAAGAAAATTTTAAAGTAATCTTTAAATATAAGACGTCTGAAGTATGGAAGACCATGGCTGGTAAGGGAGAGGGTAGGGGATGAGGAGTTAACAGCATATGCAAATGTAGGACACTGCCATGAACTGGAAAGACATGTTAAGTGAAGTTCAAGTTTCCTGTTATTACCAATAACAGTATTAAAGATACAAATCTAAGAGACAACACCAAAAGAATGGACTAACTGCTGTCATATATATAGATATATTCTTCTAATGCTAGGAGTTTACTGAGGATTTTAATGCTGTTATGTGCTACTGAATAAACCTAGATTCATAGCAATCTTATGCACATCAGAACAAAGCCCTGCAGGTTCTGCGCTTTCCTCAATCTCAGCTGTGTTTATGCCCATCCTTGCAGTCACCGAGTCAGTCCATCTTGTTGAGGGTCTTTCTCTCCTTCTCTGACATTTTACTTATCCAAGCATGTCTTTCATTCAGTCTTTCCCAAGACCGAATTCTCCTAAGAATAGGCTCAAAGTATGTGAAGGAAAAATCCTCACCATCCTTGTGTCTAAGGTACAGCTAGCTGGTTGAACTTAAGAAACAGTGTCTATAAGATAGCATGGGAGTATACAGATAGCTAATGATCTTCCATTGTGGGTGTCAGCAGATAGGACTTGCCCAATGGACAAAAGGTTCAGCATCACAGCAAACCCAGATTATCTTAGTACAGCAAATTGACAGAAGAGTGCTGTACAACTTAGAAGAATGTTCCTCCAAAATAATAACACTTGGCCCTCAGGCCCAATCAACATTTAAATACAAGGACCCTCCATTTATATATATATAGGAATCAAAGGCCTGAAGTCTTTCTATAACTATCATCATTCCTCCAGGTTCATAGACTTGCCAGAGACATGTGGTTTAGGAAGTGGATGATACAGAGGAATTTAAAGAAATAACATATGAGCAAGAGCCTATGGTGATGAACGAAGAAGTTCAAGCTGCTTTGAAGGAAACAGAAAAAAATAAGGCCCCAGGAATAGATGGTATACCAACTGAAGTATTTCAGATAACAGATGTTGCCCTGGATGTACTCACTAAGTTGTGCCAAGAAATCTGGAGAACAACCACTTGGCCAACTGACTGGAAGAGATCTATATTTGTTCCCATTCCAAAGAAAGGTGACCCAACTGAGTGTGGAAACTACAGAACAGTGTCATTGATTTCACATGCAAGCAAGATTCTACTGAAGATTATCCAAAAACAATTAGAACAGCACATCAGCAGAGAACTGCCGGAAGTCCAGGCTGGGTTTAGAAGGGGTCGTGGTACTAGGGATATTGTTGCTGATGTTAGATGGATCTTGGCTGAAAGCAGAGAATACCAGAAGAATGTCTAACTGTGTTTCATTGATTATGCAAAGGCATTTGACTGTGTGGATCATAACAAACTGTGGCTGAATCTGAGAAGAATGGGAATCCCAGAACATTTAATTGTGCTAATGCGAAACCTATACTTGGACCAAGAGGCAGTAGTCAGAACAGAGCAGGGTAACACTGCATGGTTCAAAATTGGGAAGGGTGTGCGCCAGGGATGCATCCTGTCTCCATACCTTTTCAACATGTATGCAGAGCAGATTATCCGAGAGGCTGGGCCCTATGAGGAGAATTGTGGCATCAGGATTGGTGGAAGATCTATTAACAATCTGCGTCATGCAGATGACACAACCCTGCTTGCTGAAACTGAGGAAGACCTCATGCGCTTGCTGCGGAGGGTCAAGGACTGCAGCCTTCAGTATGGACTGAGGCTCAATGTCAAGAAGACAAAGATTCTCACCACTGGACCAATTGGCAGTGTCAGGATGGATGGCGAAGAGATTGAGATTGTTCACAGCTTCAGTTTGCTCGGCTCCACAGTCAACACTCTTGGCACCAGCAGTCAGGAAATCAAAAAGCATATCGTGATGGGAAAGTCTGCTGTTAGGGACCTCTCTAAAGTACTCAGGAGCAACAGTGTCTCTCTGGAAACTAAGGTGTGCCTGATACAGGCCATGGTATTTGCAATCACTTGTTATGCATCAGAGAGTTGGACAATGACTAGGGAGGACAGAAGGAGAGTGGATGCTTTTGAGTTGTGGTGCTGGAGAAGAGTACTGAATGTACCATGGACTGCCAGGAAAACAAACAGATTCATCTTGGAGAGGATTAAACCAAGCTACTCCTTGGAGGCAAGGATTCTGGGGCTTCGTCTAACATACTTTGGACATGTTGCCAGGAGGGACGTGTCCTTGGAGAGGGACATCATGCTTGGGAGGGTGGAGGGACAGAGTGGGAGGGGAGGACCCTCTATGAGATGGATTGATTAGGTGACTGGGGTAATCGGGATGGGTGTGTCAGAGGCAGTGCGGTTGGCGCAGGATAGAGCAGGATTTAGGGCTGTTGTGCATAGGGTCGCTATGAGTCGCAAATGACTCGACAGCACATAACAACAACAACAGTGCTTAATTCTAAAGTGTTCAGAATAATTAACAACGAACGTCAAACAACTTGAGTTAAAGGCATTCACAGTAACAACTTTCAAAGGTAGTGGAAGTTTCTCAAGCTTCAAAATAGGTCCTTCTACATCATTCTCTTAAGAATTAGAAAAAGTGTTGGTTTGGGTTTGTTGGGGTTTTTTTTTTAAGCACATGTTTCAAAGCATGACCAGCATAGAGTGGGCAATGTTTATCATTCAGGGAATTCTATTTAGAGAGAAGGAAAACAAGGCACCAATTACCTACCTACACAGTGCTGCTTTATAATCTCATTCATTTTCACAACCATGAGAGGAAACAAGCTCTAACATGGCTGATTTGTCCACGTCTTTCTAGTAAATGGATAAGATTTAAATCCATGCCTGACCAACATACACGAATAATAACAAATACGCTTGCTTACAAAAACTGTAAGAAAATAAGGCCATACTTCAGTAACTGGTGATTCAATTTTAAGATGCTATGTAAGGAATGAAGATTACTCAACTTTGTCGTTTATTCCAGCACTTAATCATTGCAGTAGTCAAGAAAGTCTTTCTGCTCCTTTCTAATTATAATCAGACATTATTTTCTTTAAAATAATTTACCTTTATAGCACTTAGTATAAACACGTATGTGGAATATTACAAACAACAATTCCTAAAAGAGTTATTCAAAAGAGGAACCAAATTCTTGGGAGACTCAGTCTTTTTCTAATAAAAATTGCTATCAACAAGCATTTAATATTTCATAATTCCCCCATAAAATATTTCACAACTGCTTGAGCCTGGGAATCACATTTTAAATGTCAATCCCTCATTTACAGTTCAACACTGACAGTGGAAAACATATTGCTAAAAGTAAAGCTTTACGTCAAAATTAATTTAACTGCAATCCCAGAGGCTCATGGTTCGAATCCACCAGATCTCTGCTGGAGAAGGAGGGACAATCTCCTTTTGTACCAGTCAGATCCAATTTGACAGTACACACACAAAATAATAAAATAAAATAAAATAAAACTTTAAAAAATATTTTAAA